CAGCTGATAGCGCCCCTAATCCAGCCCAACCAAGCCAAAAAAAAAAAAACCACGTGTCATGGGTGTCGCTATGGCCCATAGCGACATCCAGTGAAAGAGCCCCAAAGGTGTAAAATGTTTCAAAACAGCCCCATTTTAGTAATAAGTTTCTAAAAGTGCACCACAATGGTCGTTTAGCCGAATATATAATTATTAGTTAAGAAAGAGTAGTATAAGCGTAGTTTTAGAAGAAAAAAAATACTACCTCCATTCTTCTTTATATGACTCAACTTCGAACAATTGTTTGTTCCTTTATATAAGACTCAATTCATAATATTTAATGTAATAATTATTTTTAGGCTAAAATATCCCTAATTAAGTTATAGACTCTTTAAAAGTCTAGCGTTCTATGAGAAAGAAGTAATATAGAGTATGAACTCTAATTGATTAAAAGGGCGGTGGGTAATAATTAGGAGAGAAAATGCAAAAATAAGACAAACTAGTATTTTAGTTCGTAAAAAGCACAAACATGTTCATTATATATAATATAATTAAAATTTATAATAGATTATACATAAAAATACTATATTTGAATATATAAATTATATTTAAAATAAGTATACACAAATATTTTTAAACATATAAATTATATATTAAATTTATTATAAATTATTTTTTATTTATTAATAATTTATTTTAAAAAATTAATATTTAATTGATAAATAATTATGATAAAAAAAATCAAATTAGATAAGAAAGTAAAACATCTCTACAAACCCTCTAAAACTTCTAAAAACACTTATGTAATATAGAAATTCATGTTTAATATATAAGAATTTATTTATTGTTATCAACTAGATTGATTACTTTTCTTATCTAATGGGAATCTTATATATAGGAACAAAAATAAATATAAATAAGATAAATTTAGGCAAAAATACATTTTTCGTTCCTTATATTATTTATTAGTGTTAATTTAGTTTCACTTTAATTAATTGAATCAATTTAGTCCCACATCTTTAAAATGTATCTTAATATTTGACCTTTCATTTCCTCTGTTTAAATACTTAAGAGATTTGACATGTGTCATGACATGTGACATGATGACATGACACATGGCATGATGACATGCCACGTGTTATGTCCATGTCACAGAGCATGATGTCATGCCATGTGATATGATAACATGACACATGACATGACACGTGTCACATCTATTGTGTCACATCCATTAAATATTAATTAAAGTGAGACTAAATTGATTCAATTAATTGAAATGAGACTAAATTAACACTAATAAATAATATAAGGAACGAAAAATATATTTTTGTCTAAATTTATTATTCTTGACTAAATTAATTACTTTTTTAATATGAATACATTAGATAATTTGATCTAATATAAATAATATATCATAATCAAACTAACACAAATATTTATATTATATTTTGTGTTATTCAATTAGGTAACTTTTATTATTATTAATATATTTTTCTTTACTATTTTTATTATTTCTTATTCATAGACATAATTATGCAATGTTTTAAAATAGATAATTAAATATTAATTTATGCTTTTTAGATTTGATTTTCAATAATATATAACCAGCAAAAATCATACTTATAAATATAAATTAGTTCTTAATAATCAACTTTAAAATATTGTTCGAATGATATTCATAAGAAAAAAAAAATCATTAAATAAAATTGCAAAAAGTCAAACACAGGATTGTAGGCAAGGTAGATCTGCGGAGCGCAGATAGATGCAATAATTGATTGTCTGAAATTCGATAACGTCACCGATTTCGTTTGGGTCCCCACTCCCCAAACACTCTCATCTTCCTTCCTTTTATCCTCTTGTTTGGATCATGGCAATTTGTTCCTCACCCTCCTCATCTTCTTCTTCTTCTTCTTCTTCTTCTTCTACGTCGTCGTTTGGTTCTCCCAACAACGCCAAGACCTGGATCATCCATGGCATTGTGGCTGGGGTTGCGATTGCAGCGGCGGTGGGTGCACGCGCCTACATGACCCGATTCAACAAGTTTCGGAGTCGGGTCGTCGGTATCATACCCGCCCGATACGCTTCGTCTCGCTTCCAGGGAAAGCCTCTCGTTGAAATCCTTGGCAAGCCCATGATCCAGGTCCTTTTAATTTTCTGTTATTATTTCAATTTTTTTTTTATATATATATTGTAAAGTTCAAAGTGATTTTTTGTTTTAAATTTAGCTTTTCGTGTTAGTGTTAGAAATGAATAAAATTTGAGAGAGGGTAAAGGATCAGTTTTTGTTAATGTTAATGGTAATAATAAGGGCCTAGGCTTTATTGCTGACATAGTGAAGCAATTTATTGTAAATTTAATATTTTTTTTTTATCTATTTATTAGTTTTTCTTAGGTTTTGTAAAATTACTTAGGGGACACTTATTTTGAAATGGATGAGTGATAATTATTGTCATAAAAAGAAATGAAATGTGAAATAAAATGAAAAATCTAATTGAGTGTAAAGTGAAAGTACTTGGAGGGTTGAATGTGAAACAAAAAGCAAGAAAATGCTAGTTGAAGAAGACAAAGTTTAATAACAGAATAACAAATTGGAGTCCCTGAGTTCAATTATGTGGAAATATGAGGGGAAAATGCAAAAACTATAAATAAATGTTTATAATTTTCTGAGAGTGAGGGGTGCATTTGCAAAGCTTAACCTCAATACAACACAGGTCCGCCTATGACATGCGAGTTTGTGACCCGTGTTTTTCTCTTCTGTAAACGTGATTGTTGGACTTATATGTTCAGTTAGTTCACATGGTAGTGGTGATTCAATCAACGGGCTTTTTCTATTGAGATGTAGGAATTTGGAATGTAATTCTTTTTCCTTCTAGTTGCCTTAAAATGTGTGGTTTCATGCTTAAAAATAAGGAACTGTGTGTTGAAGTTTTGGTGGTGATGGGTTTAAGCCTATGACATCTTTGTGTAAGCTAGGTAAGCTTTGGACCTCTCTTTGCAGGCTGTATAGTTTCTTTAGTCTTTTTTCCATAACTAAGCTTCATTGATTTTAATAACAGTTAATAGGCTAATCAAGACTATTGATAACTGCAGAGCTACCATGGTCAACTCACTCTTCTCTAGCTACTTTAAAATAAGTGTGTTAAGTGTAAGCCCTGTAAGAGTGGCAATTTTGTATTATGCTGAATCTCATTGTGTTAGACCTGTTAGGATAAACCTTTCTATAAGTACTTATATGAAGAAAAAAGCAGTAAAAAGAATTAAATTTCTCTTATAAATTAAAATCAACTTATTCACTCTAACTTTTATAGGAATCTCCTCATCTAACTTCTCCAAAAGCCAAGGCACATTAGTTGATTTTAACTTATGAAAGAAGTGTGCGATTCATTTTGCTTTTTATTTTCTTCTTTTACAAGTGTCTATTGAGAAGTTTATCCAAACAGATCTTCAATGAGAAAATATGAAACATTTTTATACATCTCTCAACTATGGAACTTGATTTCTCTCACAACTAGCTAAGTACTTTGTTCAATATACAGTTCAATAGACATTTTCAGTTGACTTGTTGGTGTTATAGTAAAGTATTCCCAGCGCCTGCTTTTAATTTATGGTCTCTAATGGTCAAATTATGATGTATTTTACCTACTTTGGGACAAATCTTACAGAGAACATGGGAAAGGGCAAAGCTGGCTGCTACATTGGATCATGTCGGTAAGTTTATCCACATGATCTTCCTACAATCTGGATTTGTTCATAATCACGTCCTGCAAAAGGACAAGTAAATTCATTTCATATTTTACTGTTTCTGCATATATGTCTATGCATGGAAAACCTCTTGTTGGTCTTTTGAAGTCAATAAATTCTCAATGTTTTTGAGATCTATCACCTTTGCATTGCATTCTTTTCTGAATTTCTAGGCAAACTAACTTAAAGAACATCATGATTTGGTTTGGTTTGTGATATAGGTAAATCTTAATGCATTCTGTATGCATGTCATCTGGTGCTCCATATTCAAGAAAATAAAGTAATAAATGATTTTGCAATATGGTCAACGTGTAAATGCATTTGCACATCTAGGTAGCTTCTTTGATGTCTGATTGGTCATTTTCTCTGGTTCTAGTTGTGGCAACTGATGACGAAAAGATTGCTGACTGCTGTCGACAATTTGGAGCTGATGTTATAATGACATCAGAATCCTGCAGAAATGGTAAGCAAATTAGTTGCTTATTGTATTGTAGCCATTCCAAGCTGTTTTCTTCACAATGTTTCATACTCTTTATTTTGCTAGATAGGTACTGAGCGCTGCAATGAAGCCCTACAAAAGCTTGGGAAAAAATATGATATTGTTGTGAACATTCAGGGTGATGAGCCACTTGTTGAACCTGAGATAATAGATGGTATTGTTAAAGCTTTGCAGGTAAGAATTTTTTTTTTGTTTTTTTTTTTTCTGTTTAAACTTATTCATGCAAATATTGAGTTTTATTAGCAAAGAAATTATTAACTTCCTGCTTTAGGCTGTATGTCATCATTATGTGCATTTTTATTCTGAACAAAATGGTGACTAAATTCTTCCAAACACTCGTTTAAAACAGCATCAGGTTGTCTTGAAATTTTTTACATTGAAGTATTGTAACTTAATGCACAAAAGGAAATATTACTGCATATCTCTGAATATTATTCCCTTATACCATCTATACTGATCCTTACAGGCAGCTCCAGATGCAGTGTTCAGCACTGCAGTCACATCTTTAAAGCCTGAAGATGCACATGATCCAAATAGGGTGAAATGTGTGGTAGATAATCGTGGTTATGCCATCTATTTTTCACGAGGATTAATCCCGTTCAACAAGTAAGTTAGAAATAATTTAAGTTCATATTTTCAATGTTAATTGTTACTTCATTCACAAAATATTTTGTGATATTGTGTACATATTTTTTTTGAAACTAAACAAATGCTTGCATATATACTGTAGGTCAGGGAAGGTCAATCAACAATTCCCGTATTTGCTTCATCTTGGGATTCAGGTACTAATTTTAAGTTCTTTTTAATTGGCCATGTTTATGATGACAAACATTGCTTATTGTTCGTTTGTCTATTAACATTATTTGCTTCATTGTGAGTTAATATTTTTCTGCCTACACATCTGCCAGAGCTATGATACGAAGTTTCTGAAGATATACCCTGATCTTCAACCTACTCCATTGCAACTTGAGGAGGATTTGGAGCAGCTTAAAGTCCTTGAGAATGGCTACAAGATGAAGGTACCTGAGTTATTTATATATGCCCTTGTTATTTTATCTTTATCCCACTGACTTACAAGTTTCTTACTTGATTATTCTAAATTGATCTTATATAATCTCTTAATGATAATCAAATAGCCTTCAAATCCAAGTATAAGGTCTGGTTGCCAACATAGTGTTAGATGTAAGTAGTCCAAAACCATCGTAAATTCAGGTTCTCTGATAAAGTTGTCTGGTCAGTGACTATTGAACCGAACACTTGGTGACAGTTAGGACACCCCCTATTAAGAGGGTCCATGTTAGGAGAAATAGGAGAGTAGCAGGGTGTCAAATTCAAATCCCTGAGGCATTGTAACAGTATATGATAGAAACTGCAATCAGTAAAAGTAATTTTTGCTCTGTTTGTATAAACTTCTCCATAATTACTTTAAGAAGAGTAAAATAGAAAGAAAAATTGAAATGAACTTTTTCACAAGTTAAAAATGACTTATTCATAAGCTAATTTGTAAAAGTTTTATCTTATTAGTTTTTTCAAAGTCTTATTTTTAACTTATGCATTAGCTAATTTTAACTTATGAAGAAGTTTATTTTGATTTTTTTTTCTATTTTTTTCTCCTAGAAATGCTTTTAGAGAAGTTTATTGAAATAGACCTTTTACTGTAATGTGTTTTAAAGAAAAAGAAATCACAAGAGCAGAAGCTCCCAAGCATAGAGATGATTCTCTAACCCCTAAAGATTCTCAATACCCTTTTCCTCTCTCCTCTTGCCTATATAACAGATTAGTCTTATGCTGTCTCTGTAACTAACTCTCCACTTCCACACTACCTTCTCACTTACAGAAAATCATGGTCCTAGTTATTCTTGGGCAGCCTTCCCCCCTTGTCCTACTTTTCTTTGTAAATCTGTTTATACAAATTATCATAACAGACTTTCTGTCGTAATGTTGTAATGCCTTGGATTTGATCCCCTATTTCTCCTAACATAGACCCTCTGAATAGGGGTTTCCTAACAGATGTTTTATTATCACTGTCATGTTCCTCTGCACTGCGGTAATATTGAAATTATTCTCAAGTCGAATAGTTTGCTGATTATAGCATCCAAAACATGGTTTTTGGATGTGTTCTACTACTGCTGGAACTTGGAAATGAGTCAAGTCGTTCTTATCTCAACTCGATTTGAGTCCACAAGAATTGGTTCAATTTGGAACCTAGTTGAGTTTTATATGAACCACTGTTTTAGCTCAAGTTCAGCTCGATATAGGTTTACAAATGATATGATTTACCTCACGAGCTAAGTTGCATGAACAAAAGATAATTTAGATAATTATCATCAATTGTACTTGTGCTTTTATTATATTTTATTTTTTTGTGTCTCTTTATATATTGGAGGCATATTTATTGGGAGAGATAAGAGGAATTAATCTTGGTCATACAATCGTACATCGATGATGAAAGATTATTTTAGTTAAATCTGATGTTGACCATCCATTTTAATTCTAGGGACAAGGTTTATTCTTCCTACACTCATTTCTCACCTTAGTTCATACACATTACGAATTGAACTGTAGTTGTTCAAGTTCTGTCATTTAATTAACAGCCTTAGTTTTTAACTCAAGTTTAACTTATTTGGATCATAAACCAAGTTTTTCAACTCAAGTTTAACTTATTTGGATCATAAACCAAGTTTTTCAACTCAAGTTTAACTTATTTGGATCATAAACCAAGTTTTTCAACTCAAGTTTAACTTATTTGGATCATAAACCAAGTTTTTCTAGCTAATTAACATATTGAGTGTTGAATTAATTTTGAGTTCCTTTAGTAGGTTCATTGCCAGCCTCATTCTACACAAAAGTAATGGATTTCCAGGTTCTCTCTGAGATAGGAATTCACATTAAAATGTGAAATAAGAAAAATCGCATAGTTCCACTTAAATTCATCATTATAAATGCAATGGAATAAAAAACGACTATTTATAAGATGTTCTTCTAAATTTAAGTAACATTTACTTCAAGACTCAAGATTATAGCTACTACTCATTACTGAAAAATTATTATGAGACTACTCGTAGTTGATAACTGAAGGCTTTAACCATCTGTTCTGATGTGGGATAAGTTATTTATATCATTATTGTGCACTTTATAAAAATGTTAATTTTTATTTTCTGCTGTAGGTGATAAAAGTTGATCATGAGGCCCATGGTGTTGACACTCCTGAAGATGTTGGAAAGATAGAATCTTTTATGCGTGAGAGGAACTTGTCTTGAACTCTCAGATACAGCAATGAAACCATATGCAAATCAATCATAAAGCACATTACATCACAGATAGAAAAGGGTTTTATTTATTTATTTTCTTTTAGTATATATCTTCTTGTTTTATTATGTATAATGTATGTTATTTTCTTAATACAGCAATGTATTTTATCATCATAGTACTTATTTTATTATTTATAGTGTATGTTATTTTCTTAATACAGCAATGTATGTTATCATCATAGTACTTATTTTATTATTTATAATGTATGTTATTTTCTTAATCATCGGCAGTATGACTTGGTTTCTTGGTTTCATGTACGACTATTAATATGTAGTATACATATGCAGGGAACGAAAATTTTAGTGACATATTACATATATACTGCGAGCTATGTATGTATCTTTGTCTTAGAAAAGAATTTCAATGGGACTCGGAGTGTATTAGTAATGAAGGTTTACATTAACACATCATGAAGGAGATTCATGGTAGTTTAGAGGGCATTGGAGATACTCAAAATTCATGTAATCTAGACAATAAGAGTATTAAGACTATATTATTCAATTCAGAAAAAAAAAATGCTGTAATAACTAATAATTTCTAAAGAGTGAACTTATATTTTTGAGAATGCCTAATATCTTCTTTTACGTATTGTAATCATGAAGGCAAATTTAAATTTTTATGCAAATTTGATATTATGTCTTTGAGCCACAAATTTTAAGGGGATTAAATGTCCTTTCATTTAAGCTTTTATTATGCTATAGAAGTGAAATATATACAATAATTTTAGCTTATATATTATTATTATTTTGTGTGTAAGGTTTATTATTATTTTTTTGTATAATATTATTTGTATACTTTTTTTTATTAATTTTAATATTGCATCCTTTTTTTTTCTTTTTCCTGTTTTCACGTAATATTTCCACGTTATGAGGTAATACAGAGTCCAATTATTTTAAGTGATAGCCTCCATTATTTAAGGCAATTAATTTTTAGTGATTTGCTTAAAGTTCGATTTAAAAGATTAAACATTGTATGCTTCCTTAATTACTAGGCTAGCTAAATTCTAATATTGCTAAGGGTATGCTCGTTGCATAGAATTGGAATTGTAGTTTGGGGTTAAAAATTTCATTTCATTTCTGCCTAAATTAGAATGGGTTTGAAATCATAATTCTCATGTTTGATTGTGTATAGAATAAGAGTGCAAAACTGTAATTCTATGGTGGTTTTCAATGGAAATGAAAGTAACAATTGATATTAACATAAGAATGATGGTGGTGTGGTAGCAGGGAAGGAATGGTGGTGGTGACAATCAAGGATGTGGTAGTGATAATAATTATGGAGGCGTGTTTCTGGAAAAAAAAACTGTTCATGGGTCCTTTTTATTTGAATTATTCAAAGTTTTCAATTTAGATACTGGGCATATGCATAGTTTTAGGCATTATTGGAACACGAGATGTATTTTTTTTTTTTTCATATTGTAGTTCTAATAATATCTTTTTTCATCAAATTAGTTAAGGTTGAATTGCGAGGTTGTTTAACATACCAAAATGTCTATGAACTCCTCAATAAATATCATATAATCGAAATCATAGATATATATGCTTAAACAAATTGAATAAACAACGCATATGTTTGCAAATCACCATATCTTTAAATTTGAAAAAACAAATTGAATAAACAACGCATATGTTTGCAAATCACCATATCTTTAAATTTGAAAATGAGTCATTGATTACAATATATAATTATCGCAATATAGTATAGAAATAATAAACTAGACTAAAACTATCTTAATTACGTTAAAAGAAGAAAAAGAAATTAAGCTAAGAAAGGAAAAGTTGGTCTAGAAACCACATTTAGTCATCTCGTGCACGGAAGCCACGGGTGCGGGCATTGGGTGCAAGGGAGCGCGAAAGTATTAAGTTTATGACCCTTCTGAATGAGTTTGCCTTGTTTATTTATAGAGAATAGGATTTTGCGTTGATTTGATGTGGTATGTGCAACTGTTACTTTTGCGTTGATTTGATGTGGTATGTGCAACTGTTCCATGCTACATGATGTGGGTAACCCCGCTCAACCGTTCTTAACTTTTCGCAACTGCATGTTACACTTTTGATTCTCAAATAATCTCTTTGGGGTTCTTGGCTTTAATTTTCGAGGAACAACTATTACCCATTGATCCCTTGTAATCTATAACCCTCCCGTTATTCACGCAAATGTGGGTAACTACCTTGAATCGCTCATAACTGCTCTTCTTCGATTTGACGAACGATTCCTTGAGCATATTTCGATTACTTAAAAAAATTTCACCATTCTATCCCAACAAGGCAAAAGTAGCAATGCTAATCGATGATAGTTGTGATAGAAATAATTTGAAATATAGTAGTGATTGTAGGATATTAATAATAACGATAATAATAATAATAATAATAATAATAATATTTAATGATAAAGACAATAATAATTGAGATAAAGATAGTGATAACTCTAGTAATAATTAAAGTGACAACTGTTATAATGATGATGATTGGTGACAATTGATCAACAATGAATTATTGGTGATGATCCTTCACTTTATGATTGATTTATAAATTATTATATCCTATTAATGTCTAGATGCTCTAATATTGTGATTTATGAAAATTAATTGTCAATCTATATATGTGGGAGTAGAAAATAAAAATAAAAATTTTATTTATATAGCTAATTACTTGTCAGAAGTTTTATTAGAGCTCCTTCAATAAGATGAAGTTGATAATATCCTATGTTAGGCTTAACTCTTTATGTTATTATATCATTTAGAGAAGATTACAAGGTATCTTGGATCAAGGTCGGTCTAAACATAAAGAGAGGAAAATCCTTATTTTAGGTTTCTAAAATATTATATAGTATATATATTAATATTTATACAAATTTTATTATTAGTTGGTTTATTATAATAATAATAATAATAATAAAACTGTATTTTTTTTATTTATAAATAGTTATGATATTGTTGGAGAAAATATTGTTTTAATTTTTTTATAAGACTTCTGATTTTTTTATTACTTCTTTTGAAATTTTATTAAGATTTCACATTAGAATTTATTTTAGGCCTAATAATAAATTGAGTCAATCTTACCATGATATCAAAATTAATGTTTAGTTCTTGAAATCATAAATCTTTTTGAAGTAATCATAAATACTTATTTACAGCAATATCTCTAAAGTGTTACAAAATCATCCTAGGATCATTAGACATCCTTGTAAGGCTGAAAAGAATGAGATAAAACAGTCTTAAATATCATATATCTAACATAAAAGTAAACATGAGAGTATAACACTTTACCTTAAGTTAGCTTGTCATGTGCAAAAATAGAAAATTCCACCAACTTAGATCCCATGTCAACTTAAAGATGAAAACAACACTTGCCACACATAAACAACATTTCATAACAATTAAACTATCAAATAATGAATCCAACATTCATATTTTTAAAAAATAGTTCTATCATATTAAAAAGGTTTCTAATGTCTCGCAAGAAAACTAAGTATAAATTGAAAGAACGGAGAATTCAATGTTTCTCACTACTCTGAAACCATATTAACTTCAACTCAAATCCCAACTACCCAACTTGCATTATTCTAAGTGTATTTATTATATATCATTTTGCGAGACTTAGAACAACTATTTCTTTGGTCTTATAGAATATATCAAAAGGTTTTGGTTGTATTTTAATTTTTTTAAAAGGGTGTAAGACCATAAAGGACTTGATTAAAAGAGAATTTGCATATTTGAACTTGGATATACTTATGACGAATGCTTAGAAAGTGAGAATGAAAATATCTCTGAATCATTCATCTATTATCCAATCAATTTATTTATAAAAAAATTCATCAAATTCATTCATTACACAACATAATATTGAATGATTAAATCCAATTCATCCATTTAATTTAATTGATGGTTAGTGATTCATTCATCATGTTTTCAAATCCATTGGATTACCACAAGTGAGATGTGTCACATTAAATAAAAATGCTATATTTTTTATACTATTTTTTGGGCACATATTTGAATTGAGATTTCAAAAGATTATCTCTATATCTTAAAATAAATAAATAAAAAGTGTTTATCTTAGACACGTGGCATCTTTTGCCAAATTTTGCTCCTGTCCAAATTTCTTCTTCCTTGCACCAAGCTTTTCTAGATTTTTGCAACTTTTTTCTTCTAAAAACAACCTGTCTGTCTTTGGTTCTCCAAATAAGATTTTTGAAGTTACCTAACAAAAAACCATTTGTTGAAGTTGTTGTTTGTGTTGCATTTTAGTTATTTGCACACATGATTTGAACATGTCTATGTCTCAACACATGATTTGCACATGCCAATGCCTCAACTGTTTATGTCTACTTTTTAAAAGATGTTCATTTTGCATTGCACTATTTGTTCTATCATAAATGGTTAAGTCTACTTTTTTGAGTTTGTAAATTTGTGCATTTTCTTCTGAAAATGCAATCTGAGGAACGTTGGTTTTTTACTTACCAAGTGATTATTCTATGTATGTTCGAAGTTATTAGTGCCTTCATTTTTTTGTGCATGTAGCGTCATAATTCAACATGTCTGGGAAAGTTAGTTGCATGAAGGAGATAAATGATAGCAGACTAACAGTGAGACATGAAAGCTGATTGTGAGAATTGTGAATATATGGGCTAATGATAAAAGTCCTAGATCAAATATGAAAATAGTTTTCATGGATAAACATGTATGTATAATAATGTCTATAAGTTTCATTTGTATCATTCAACTTTCTTTTTTTTAACTGTATTTTATTATAATATTTCTACCTAATATGGTGATAAAAAAAAAATTGCTCAAGTGAAGCACATGGACGTAGAAAAATTAAAAATATTCTAAAAGAGGGTGTTATAGTATATTTTTGAGATATTTTAAAAGGTTAATTATTTCATGAAATTATTTTAAATTTAAATTTAAATTTAAATTCAAAATAATCATTTTATGAATTACAGGTTTTAATACCTAATTAATATTAATTTTAATGAGATATAATAACTTGATTATTATAATTTTAATTATCAAAAATTTAAAATTTATTTTTAATTCTTGTGATTAATTATAGATACAATGATTTAGGGTATGAAGCACTGCTCTTTTCTCTTCTCGGCTTGAGTTTTTTCATTTGCAAGAATTAACATTCGATATAAATGAATCTAATAAAATAAATTTTAAGTTTTGAATCAATAAAAAAATTTAAAAGGACTAAATTGACCTAAATTTACGATATAAAATAT